CCCCCCCCCCCCCTTCTCGACATTCTGCCTTCAAAAACATTTTTTTCAGTCATGGCCAACAGTGCGACAGAGTAAGTCCTCCTGGAAACAAAGTATCCAGGAAGCATGGCTTCAGGAACTTCCTGGTGTGGTGAACTATCCATCTTCTGCAATTCCACATTTCCTGGGCCCCATGTTCCCAGGAGGACATATTCTAGGTCAAGCAAGATTAGGCCCCAGACTCTTGCAAGGGCAGTAACAAGACTATTAGTTCTTTAGTGTCAGTAGTTCTTTACGTAGGTTCCTCTATAGCAGGGGTGTCTAACCTTTTTTAATGTGGGGCCAGATCATGAACTTTTCATCACCCAGTGGGCCAGCAAGCCATATTCAAAGACCTCACAGGTAGCGGTATCACCCCCCCCAAAACAAAAGTACAGTGTTTACATTCGTTTCCTGCTGCAGTACCTCAGGCCTCAGAAAACAGCATGGAGGGCCGCATGGCAGCCCGTGGGCCGTATGTTGGACAAGCCTGCTCTATAGAAAGCACTGCTGCTTTGGGCACAAGTTACAGAGCTCTGCCAACAGCTATGGCTATGGCAAGGGTAATACAGGACTCTGCCCCTTCAATTTATTGAGCAGGCACAAACAACAGCTATCTTGGCAGCTGCATGGCATGCACAGTACTTCCATGCGTACTCCTTTTCCAACAAAAGCAGCTTCCATGCTTAGAACACACCCCCCAATTTTGGGGGCAGGAAAAGGGACATGTGTCATATAAGAAAAAGTAGTATTTTACATCAGAAGGGCTCCCCGCCACCCATTTCAGCTATTATGTAGTGCGGTGTTTTACTACAGAAAACTACAACACCACATCAAATCTCAGATGCTATAATTGCTTCAACAAGTCTAAAAGAACACTGACGTGGAAGTCACGACACTTTGCAATTAGGTTTGCCAAAATGAAAAGACGCTTCTTCACTATAAGCATCTTTACATGGATCTTCAATGCAATAACACATTCAGGACACCCCTGAAAGCTTTGTTTCACAGTAAAAGAACAACATGCTAAAAAAACGATGGTATTCACTTACCTGCAAGATACCTGCCCCACTATTAAAGAATGACCATTACTGCAGTATGTCTAAAAGGTTGTCCCACACCCTGAGAATGAGGTAGGCAGTCAGCAGAGCGGGACTATATACTAGGGGTAGTAATGAGAAAGCAAAGTATGTGCAAGTCTACCAGGAAGCAGGTCATACACAGCATGGAGAGTGAAAACAATGCAATAATGTGAAGCACAAGAATAATTTACTTCTCCCACTATTTTTGCTTTGTTATCAAAATATTTATATTAATGCATCAGTGGAAGACAGTCAGTGTAACTAAGTTTTCTACCTAAAAATCTAGAACCATTTGTTGCATATTTCCACAGACCCAGTTCATAATGCAAGGTCAACACCAAGAAAGGCAGTGTCCAGTCTACAAAGGTCTGAAATTCATCCAGCAGATGTCTACCACCATCTAGAACTACTTAAAATACTGATAGTGAGCATAGCAACATGCCGCACGAATGGCATCAAAACCAGTAAAACTTCAGTCCCTAGTTTCTAACATTCCTAGGACCAGAAGTGACCTTCCCACCATACTGTACAAAAACAAGTACAGGAGAAAGTGACAACTTGCTGATGTCAACACAGTAATCCCTGATAGCCAAGTTAGTTCAGGGTTCATTTCACAGTTCATAGCATTAAACTCCTGTACAAATAAAGGGCCAGCTCCCAAGTTTCACCCCACCCCAAGCCCTACACATTAGTAACATTCAAAGGCACTCACAATAATGAAGCCTCATTATCAAATTCAAATTCATGGGTGGTTAAAGGTAGCACAGCCAGTTATTGATCTCACCTTGATGCACACAGCAAGCTAAGTCCCAATGAGGGCAAACTGGTTGTCCTATGTAGATGGCTTTTCTCAAACAGACAAAACATTCCCACATGTGACTGACAGCAATTGCTGAGAACTCAATCACTGGAATAGGATTAGGAGGTAAACGTCTCAACTGGAGACAGCTTCTTCAGAGGTTTCCCCAATCCAGCTAATATTATAGGATTCCTTTATATTATTGACGGACATGTTAGTAGTGCACACGACAGTTCCCCTGATAAATACTCTAGTACTAAAAATAGTGGGGTTTACAATTTTTTTAAAGCTGGATTTTATGAACTGCCAGATGTTTTTGTGAGATTGCTACAAAAAAATGCTTTCACTGAACAAATCTGATCGATTAGAAAAGTGATAGCATAATCCAGGGAGAAGAGAAGTAGTGCAGCTTCTATTATCTACCAAGACCCAGGACATCATTTAAGCACAATCCAAAGACACAGGCACCTGAGAGGAGATGTAGGAACCTGCAGCAAGCACATTTGCAAGTTCCACTTCTTGCTCATGAAGATAGTGAAGGAAAGCAGCTCCCAACTGCATTTGCTGTGACAACAGAGGATGTCCTAACTCAGCGGTTCCCTAACTCTGACAGATTGCGTAACACCAATTCAAATGATACAACCATAAGTACCACCAGCAAATTTTTGTGATAAAGTAATTATAATAAATTATCTGTTAAAGTGTACCACTGACAGGTTGTCTGCGTACCACTGGTGGTACCGTACCACAGATTGGGAACCACTGCTCTAACTGCAGCAAGAAGTGTTATCCAAACTATGAGGCATCCTACATAAATCTTCCCTTAAAACTTCCACAGCTGTCCGAGTTTGTGGACCAGGTAGAGTAGGCAATGCCAGCAGCATTTCACATATCACAGTAACTGGAACAAATTGGCTTCTTGCTATGTTAGCACTCAGACTTGCTGCTACTAGTGCAACTCCTCTGACAGCAACTTCAGTGTTAGGGCAGCGGTGTCAAACATACGGCCCATGAGCTAGATCCGGCCTATGGAGCAACTCAGTCTGGCCGGCTGGACTCCCAACAGGCCACTGGGAGTTGGGGGTGCGACGTGCTGAAGAGCCCTAGGGCTCCAGTAGACACAGCCATCGAAAGCAGGATGGCAAGCGAGGGCTGATACAGCTGCCCTTTGGCCGCTTCATCCATCACCACTGCTGTGGCACCAGCTTCTGGGCTGCTGATGCCACAAGCCACACAGGGCAGGCCGTAGGAGCCACAGCTGTGCTGTGCCACACCTGAGGCTGCTCACCCCGGCGGGAAGCAGATCCTCCCAGAGATCACGCAGCCATCGAAAGCAGGATGGCAAGCGAGGGCTGATACAGCTGCCCTTTGGCCGCTTCATCCATCACCACTGCTGTGGCACCAGCTTCTGGGCTGCTGATGCCACAAGCCACACAGGGCAGGCCGTAGGAGCCACAGCTGTGCTGTGCCACACCTGAGGCTGCTCACCCCGGCGGGAAGCAGATCCTCCCAGAGATCACGGCGAGTGTGACACAAGCGCCTTCCGCGCCAGGGGGCTTCACGAGGCACCTGCACGGTCCGGCCGCCGCCCCT